GGCAATTGACGTATAATGCTCTAATATTTTGTTAATCATGTTTTTCTGCTTTAGTTCTAAGGCTAAGTTTGATCTCATTTCATTTATATTATGTACCTTAACATCTTTGAAGTAAAAAAAAAAATTTTTAAATTCCAAATGTAGTATTCTAAGAAAATATTTATACTTCTACAAACATCGTGTGTGCATTCTTATTGATATTAAATGATATTTTTTTTTGCAATTAAATAATTGAGCAATATATTGTTCATAAAATTAATTGATAAAATATTATGTAAATAAAAATTAACTTATGTCAATTTTTTAAGAAAAATATCACAAATTTAAGAATTGTTTAAGTTTACTTAATGTGCAACGCATTAGAAGTGATACGTAACTAAGTTGTGTTATTTAAAATATGTCAATTGAAATTATTAAAAATGTGAGTGATTTTGTTTCTATTATTCGTCCGAAATGAATATTCTGTGTTGCGCAGTGTAGGCTAAATGCCAAATATTTGTATGTTGCATCTCTAATTTAGTAGCAGCAATAGCTGTTTATTTTTGAAAATTTAATTTTTTTATTTATAATTTTACAGTGTAGAACATAGTCTTGTATCCATTTACAATTTAAGAACTCCTTGAAAAGGTTTTTCGCAATAACATGATCCTATTAGCACAAATTCACAAAAGCAGGACCCTGGTTGAAAGAATGTGACTTAACGCTTATTTTATATTCTCAAGTTACGAGTAATTTTTTCAGAATTTTAAAAAAACCGGACCTTTTACAAAATGTCTAGACAGACCACTGCTTTTGGTAAAGCATTAACAGTGTATTTTGAGGGTAAGAGAGTTCTGTTTAATTTTGAAATTATTTTCAATTTGTTATTTTATTCTGAACAACTCCAAATGGAATTGCTTGGAACACAGCAATACTAACAGAACTATTACAGGACCAACTTCTAATTGCCATTTGGAAGAGCGTTATAGCTCTTTGTGGTTAAGAGAGTCCTCTTATTTAATCATGAGACCATAATTATTGATTTGTTATTTTATTCTGGAGCTGTCCGTTACTCAGTAATACTAACAGAACCATCACAGGACTTTAACCTCTAATTGCTATTCAGTAAAGCATTATAGCATTTTGCGATTAAGAGAGAACTATTTAATCATGTGGCAATTAGTTTGTTGTTGAACAACTCGTAGTGAAGTTGCTTGGAAGTTGCTTCATATAGTTTGAAAATATTGCTAAGCCCGAAAAAATGTCGAAATCTTTCTAAGTACAAACAACTTCAAAATACTTCAAAGTTGTAATTAAAAAATATTGTTAAGTCTGAAAAAATCTCGAAATATTTCTAAGTATGAACAACTTCAAAATATTTCGAAGCTTAGATAGTTTAAAAATATTGCTAAGCCTGAAAAATTCTCGAATTATTTTTAAGTTTAAATAAATTGAAAATATTGCGAAGTCCGAATAAATGTCAAAATATTTCTAAGTACAAACAACTTCAATATATTTCAAAGTTCTTATAGTTTAAAAATATTGTTAAGTTCGAAAAAATATCTAAATACTTCCAACTTATAATTAAAAAATATTGTTAAGTCAGAAAAAATCTCAAAATATTTCAAAGTTCTAATAGTTTAAAAATATGGCTCAGTCAGAATAAATCTCGAATTATTTCTAAGTTCAAATAGTTTGAAAATATTGCGAAGTCCGAAAAAATCACGAAAATTTCAAAGTGCTTCGAAATATTTCAAAGTTCAGATAGTTTATAAATATTGCTAAGTCCGAAAAAATTTCAAAATATTTCTAAGTACAAACAACTTCAAAGTATCTTAAAGTTGTAGATAAAAAAAATTGTTAAGTCTGAAAAAATCTCGAAATATTTCTAAGATCAAATCGTTTAAAAATATTGCTAAGACTGAAAAAATCTCAAATTATTTTCAAGTTCAAATACGTTTGAAAATATTGCGAAGTCCGAAAAAATCACGAAAATTTTTAAGTACTTTAAAATATTTTAAAGTTCTAATAGTTCAAAAATATTGCTAAGCCCGAAAAAACGTCGAAATATTTCTAAGTGCAAACAACATCAAAATATTTCAAAGTTCTAATAGTTCAAAAATATTGCTATGTCCGAAAAAAATGTCAAAATATTTCTAAGTACAAACAACTTCAAAGTATTTTAAAGTTGTAGTTAAAAAATATTGCTGAGACTGAAAAAATCTCAAATTATTTTTCAGTTCAAATAGAGTTTGAAAATATTGCGAAGTCCGAAAAAATCACGAAAATTTCTAAGTGCTTCGAAATATTTCAAAGTTCAGAGAGTTTAAAAATATTACTAAGTCCGAAAAATGTCAAAATATTTCTAAGTACGAACAACTTCAAAATATTTCAAAAATATAGCTAAGTCCGAAAAAATGTCGAAATATTTCTAAGTGCAAACAGCATCAAAATATTTTAAAGTTCTTATAGTTTAAAAATATCTAAATATTTCTAAGTACGAACAACTTCAAAATATTTCAAACTTATAATTAAAAAATATTGTTAAGTCAGAAAAAAATCACGAAAATTTCTAAGTGCTTCGAAATATTTCTAAGTTCATATAGTTCAAAAATATTGCTATGTCCGAAAAAATGTCGAAATATTTCTAAGTGCAGACAACTTCGAAATATTTAAGTTCAAATTGTTTAAAAATATTGCTAAGTCCGAAAAACTGTCGAAATATTTCTAAGTACAAGCAACTTCAAGATATTTTAAAATTGTAGTTAAAAAATATTGTTGAATCTGAAAAAATCTCGAAATATATCCAAGATCAAATTGTTTAAAAATATTGCTAAGACTGAAAAAATCTCAAATTATTTTTAAGTTCAAATACTAGTTTGAAAATATTGCGATGTCCGAAAAAATCACGAAAATTTCTAAGTACTTCAAAATGTTTTAAAGTTCTAATAGTTCAAAAATGTTGCTATGTCCGAAAAAATGTCAAAATATTTCTAAGTACAAACAACATGAAAATATTTCAAAAATATAGCTAAGTCCGAAAAAATTTCGAAATATTTCTAAGTACAAACAACTTCAATATATTTCAAAGTTCTTCTAGTTGAAAAATATTGTTAAGTTCGAAAAAATATCTAAATATTTCTAAGTACGAGCAACTTCAAAATATTTCAAACTTATAATTAAAAAATATTGTTAGGTCAGAAAAAAATCACGAAAATTTCTAAGTACTTCAAAATATTTCAAAGTTCAGACAGTTTAAAAATATTGCTGAGTCCGAAAAAATGTCGAAATCTTTCCAAGTACAAACAACTTCAAATTATTTAAAAGTTGTTGTTAGAAATATTTCGAGATTTTTTCTGACTTAATAATATTTTATAAGTTCAAATTGTTTAAAAATATTGCTAAGTCCGAAAATATGTTAAAATATTTCTAAGTACAAACAACTTCAAAATATTTCAAAAATATAGCTATGTCTGAAAAAATGTCGAAATATTTCTAAGTTGCAAACAACTTCAAAATTTTTTAAATTATAGCTAAGTCCGAAAAAATGTCGAAATATTTCTATGTGCAAACAACTTCGAAATATTTCAAAGTTCTTATAGTTTAAAAATATTGCTAAGTCTGAAAAACTGTCGAAATATTTCAAAGTACAAACAACTTCAAGATATTTTAAAGTTGTAGTTAAATAATATTGTTAAGTGTGAAAAAAATCTCGAAATATTTCTAAGCATAAACAACTTCAAAATATTTCAAAGTTCTAATAGTTTAAAAATATTGCTGAGTCCGAAAAAATGCCGAAATCTTTCTAAGTACAAACAACTTCAAATTATTTTAAAGTTGTTGTTTGAAATATTTCGAGATTTTTTCTGACTTAACAATATTTTATAAGTTCAAATTGTTTAAAAATATTGCTAAGTCCGAAAATATGTCAAAATATTTCTAAGTACAAACAACTTCAAAATATTTCAAAGTTTAGATAGTTTAAAAATCCTGCTAAGTCCGAAAAAATCACGAAAATTTCTAAGTACTTCAAAATATTTCAAAGTTCAAAAAGTTTAAAAATATTGCTGAGTCCGAAAAACTGTCGAAATATTTCCAAAATATTTCAAAGTTCAAAAAGTTTAAAAATATTGCTAAGTCCGAAAAACTGTCGAAATATTTCTAAGTTTCAAATTGTTTAAGATAATAAGATTTAAAAAAAAAATATATTCAAAGCAGGTGTGATTTAAATGTTTTTAAAAGAGGCAAATAATTTTTTTCCCAATCATAAATTCTACTTTAAATTAAAAACTAAATTTTCATTCAAAAATTACATTTTAATACTATTAATGCTGGAAATATAATTTTTTTGTTCATTAATTTACCCTTTAATAAATAAATAGCAGTTATAAATTTTTTTTCTTTAGAATCATGCTTGTTTCTTAATGTTTCTTTAGAACATTTAGAAACAAGCATATACAGATAAGTATATCAAGCATATATAGATAAGTATATGCTTCATATACTTATCTGTGATAACAAATTAACAAAGTTCTATATCCTGAAATTTTCCTTTATTTTTATAACTCATATATGTTATTATTTTTTTGTAAAAATAAATGCCATTATTTCAAACAATCTATTTTAGAAATGAAATAAAATGTCAAAAAAGAACTACATAGTTTTACAAGAATTTCTGGAAGTTATGCATGTGAAAATGTTTGATAATTTTCATCATCTTATATTTTTATGTAGAGTTTTAATAATCTAAATATGTTTCTGCTTTTTAATAATTTATATAAAAATAAAAACTATTAACATTTATTGGTAAACAGAAATTATGAATTAGAATTATGCATTAAAAATTATGAATCAGAATTATTTGTTCTAGAAATTATGTGTTTATTTTTTTAATTAATAAAACTTAATATTATAATTTTTTTTTTATTTAAAATGAAAAATTTAAAGGAAAAAAAAACTTTTTTCCTCAGCTTTCTTATTGATATTAAAATTTTAACTTAGTTATAATATCAATTAAATGCATAGATTTAATAGAAAGAAAAAATGTATATTTCTGATGTAAACGATCGATTCAATATTACGTTATGCAGTAGAGAAAAGATGTTTCTAGATGCATAGGAAACTCATTGCGCATGCGTATTTTTCATTGCGAGACCCTGACAACTACGTAGTAGCCAGTTTACTCCTGCTCAATTTTATGTTTACGCTGCAAATAATCTTGTTTTTTATTTCCTTTAAATTTAGGATAATATAACATCATTATAGGCATAAAAAAGTTAAATTACTTATCAAATATAATCAAAAAAGTGATTTGATGCTTCGTAATCAGATATGAAGGCAAATATTAAATGAATAATCACAGTAATAGTATCGAACTATTTGCAGCTTTTTGCTTAAGAATACAGAGGGAAGTCTTTTTTAGTCTATAAAAGTGCCAGGGTTGCTGTTTGGATTAATAAGAGTTGTTTACTTCATGTCACTTTGTATGGAACGAGTATTATTCCTTAGCGACTGATTTGTGTCTGTCGCATCGGGTAAGTATTGGTATAGGTTGGGGTAAGTAGAAAATTTTATTTCTTGTGAAGAAAATTAAATTAAGGTTAGTCAAGCTATAGAATTTTAACTTATTGATAGATTATTCTTAATGGTCGAATGCTGTAATATAGCATGGCTTACTTATTTTGATGTTTTGTTTATGCATCAACTCCTAACTCTATCCTTGCCCTGATTAATTATTTCGGAGCACCATAGTCTTAGTCAAGAAATGATTTATAAAATTCACTAGTTTTTAAAAAGTTTTTCTACCTTTATTGTAATAAATAGAATGTACTTGAATACTATTGTATTGCAAATGAACTGTAATTGCTAAGCATGTTTATGTTTTCATTTAATGTTCCTTAGTGCTCCATTTAATATTGAGCGTTATTAGTTATAGCTTGGAATAAGTTCCTTTTTATTTATTTTACCTAGATCTTGCACAATGCTGAAACGTTTTCGTTTTTACAGATTTCTACTTGTGTTCTTGCTAAAATGTTTACACCTTAATAGATATGCTGTTTACAATTTCTAATGCACCCGATTGTGAAATATGCAGTGCGCACTTACGTCGCTTTGGTTCAATGTTTGTTATGGTGAACTAGTATCGTTTGTAAAATTTTTATTCTTTTTTTTGCTACGATAATAGAATGCACAATTACTTACAATGAATAATATTTACAGATTAAACTAGGTTATGATTTCTTGAAATTTGGTTGTATTACGAAGTATAATAGCTTAGAAATGTGGATCCCCCTCCCTCCTATGCAAATGGATGGAAATGCCAAAAACTTTACAATGAATTGGTTTGATGAAATATATTTAAATTTTTGTTTAATCAATTTTATCAATATATTCTTAGAAACACGTATTTTTTTAAAAAAAATTTGCACTCTTGTTTAGGTGTAAGACTGATATTTTAAGTGGGCGTTATTGTGGATCAATGCTGATAAATATGATCAGAGTAACACCAACACCAGCGCTGTATTGATTTGAATTTTCCTTTATAAGAGTCAATTATGGAGTGAAGGAGAAAAAAATCGGTGATATTTTGTAAATTATGATTTTTTCTAAAATTGAGATTCAGATTTTATTCCTTTTGTTAAACTATAAAAATGTGTGCTATTTTGTATACTGCTATAATTAAGAAATGATATATTTGTTAACTGCAGTATATTTAGGCTGCAAAAATATTCTTCCACAGTCTATTTTCAGTTTTCGATAAGTCTGGTTTTATACTTCCCTGTCTGAATAGAGATAAATGCCTGACGTATGACCGTTATCTGTCATTTGGTTACCGTAAAACAGCTGAATAAAAAGTATGGAGGTGTTGCATACTGAGCCACTGTCCCATTTTTGTGTATCAATATTTCCGTTGTTGGTATGTAATGCGTGATAAAATTTGTGGTTTTATTCATCAACTTTTCTGTTTACATTTTCTTCGTTTGCTTATTATTACATGGTAATTTAATTGTAGTTATAGTATTTTAACATGCCTTATTCTTTTGTGGACGTGTATATATTTCAATAACGTAGCGTTTTCATTTCATTTAATTGTGGGTTATAAGTTATGTGTTTTTAAAATGAGTGATTTTTAATGATTTTTCATTTTTAAACGTATATTTTGTTTTTCTGGGGTTTATCCCCATAATCACTTTAATTTTGCAGAAGTAACAAATATGAAGCACCAATAAAGTATGAAGTGCCGCTGATAATCTCTTTTAACTGAGTGTGAAATGAAATAGTTCCCTATCCTCTGAAATGTTGAATATCTCTTATTCTTCCTTGTATTTGAGAAAGGTTAAAATATTCTATGGGTATGTTTACTCTTCAAGAGATAGAACTTATGCTATGAAAAATATGTACAAGAATTATCCATAATGCCATCTGTTCTAAAAATTGAAATGCTTTTTGCTTCGTTTCCTTCTTGTAAATATTTTTACAGAAAATTAAGAAAATGCCTTTTCTAAGCATGCAGTCTTTAAGCTCTGAAACAAAAAATAAAGGAGAAATTAAAGATCAAGATGTCAAGTAAACAGTATTATAAACTTTACTTTGATAAATTCCATTCATTTGCGACTTTTGGGATGACTGTCCCTCTTGTTAATATTATCATTTTGCAGGTTAGTTGAAGTTGAGTCTAGTTATACAACTGTTAAAATGAAAATAATGGCAGTCTGGTTGTAACTACAACATAGCTGTAGATGCTGTTTTGATTCTTATGAAATCTAACTGCTGAAATATTGGTCTACTGGAACGATATTTAATTTCAAATGTCTATCGGCAAGGAATTTGCTATGGAAATGTGGTTACTAAGGAGTATTTAGCATATTTTATTCAATTTTTAGTTTCTTGTGTTAAGATTTAAAACTGATTGTTATAAATTTTTATTTAGGTGTTCGTGGTAATTTTAAAAACCGCTCGCAAACATAACTAATGTTGAAGGATATGTTACAAGAATTAAGTTTGAATCTTAATTGCTGGATTGTGGTGGGGGAGAAAGAAATTTAAAGGACTCATCATGTGGTATACATTACATGTAAATTATAGTAAAATTTTGTTTTTTAATGTAATAAGTTTCTTTGGCATAGTTTAAAAATATTAGGTGCATCATTTGCCAATCTTTTTATTAAAATGTTTCTATTTAATATGCAATTAAATATTTATAATCTAGCATTTAACTGATGTTTGTGCTGACAGCTATCAGAGATACTTGGCTTGTTTAGCTATCTCTCAATTACATATAGTTAATACATAAGTTTTCTTCATATTGCATTATTATGAAATGTTTATTAAGCTTTGTACTGATATCTACTCTTTCTAATAAATAAGTGAACCATTTAAAATTTTCTAGAGATACTATTAGTATCTACTACATTAATTGAATTAACCAATGTCGATATGTTGTGTTAGCTAAATTATTTGCAGGCATCTTGCGTCTGAATGCAGTCCTTGTTTGCTTCCATATCCCCTTACTTGATGTGCCTCAAAAGTTCTAACTGTACTGTCCGAGTGCGAACAAGAGGTACCTTCGTCATGTCCTGCAGTTAAATCTCACTGTTATCCATGATTTGAGTCCTTCGGAAAGGAGCATCTACTTCTGATAGTTGGGGTTTTGCTGATATGGAGTATCTGCTTTCTTTTACCCTTTATATCATATAAATTTTATTAAACCTTAGTTACCAGCAATTTTCCCCTTCCTTTAGGTTACAATGAAAATTGCTTTAGAGATAAATGAAATTAAGTCTTATGATTCTTATTGATAATGCTGGAAACAGGAATAGGAGAATGAAAACTCATCAAGAAATTTGACCTGTGGTATATTTTTAAAATTTTTGATCATGTTTATGTCTTAGGTTAATATTGATTTGATATGTTAAATGATTTAGGATCTTGTGCTGCATAAGCTGATCCTGTTTTATCCTTGCTCATCTTTAATAGTTGATTAAAATTGGTCTATTAAACTATTTTGATTAATTTCAGTTTGAGATTTTTGTGTTAACTGTTTTACTTTGTCCATAATTTTTCATTAAAAGAAAACTGGTACAATTTTTGTTATCTAACCCCTTGTCGATATGCTCTTTTGTGAAGAATATTTTCAGGCTTTCCTCCTTGATCCTTGATTACAAGAGTAAACTTAATTGCGTTCGTATCATTTCAATTTCTTGAGTGGTAGAAGAGGATATCTTTTCTCGCTTTATAAGACGTTACTACATCAGAAGTTTCCTATTAAGACTGACCTAGGCTAAAAATCAGTATAAATTTTCTTATTTTCCTTTCAAGTTTTTTAATTCTTTCAATGAGAGATTCAAAAATTTTTCCTTTTTAGGTTATTTAAGAAACCATAAATCATTAACATACCAGGTGTTTATTTGGAAAATTAAGTTTATTGTCAGATCATAAATTCATCAACCTTATATAGTTCATGGAGTAGCTGAGAGAAAAAGGCTGAAAGAAAGGTTCTCAAGTGGTATATCAGTTTAAAATTCTGATTTTTTTCTTTAGAAAAATACTGTACATTTATGCTTTTAACTTGAAAACTAAGAAAGATCTTAAGCTAGAGTAGCTGATCTTTAAATAAAATTCATGTCATTAAAATTTTTTAATACATTGCTTTTTAATCTAAGAAATAAAAAATTTAGCAATTATTAATAATGCTACTTGCATTCCATTTATTTTTAACGTATTATGTTCCAAAGCTTTCTCTAATACCTGAATTTTTCCCTAGAATTGTATTGGCGTTAGAAAACAAATGCTATTTGCAGGGTTCTGTCAGCAGCCGCTTATAATCTGGGTAACTCTACATTTGGGCCAGTTATATTGTATCTTTCTCTGCCAGTTATCCTTTAATGAATTGTCTCGTGAGCCAGCTGTCTTGTTGGAAAGTCCTCAAAGAATACCCAAAAAATCAACTTCAACTTAGTTCTGAGTGATTGATTTTATCAACTTCGGCTTACGTCAACTCTATCAAAGTGTCAGCAACTAAGTATCAAAAATTAACATTTTTAAAACTCAAATTCAGAATTAAATTTTGTAAAGTTATTTTTAATTATCTGCATAATTTAGTCTAAAGTTTTGTTTTATGCATTTTATCAAATTAATTAAAAAGACATAACTTATAAAATTACCTGGCAGTTATTCATTCTCAAAATAGTTTAATGAAATCCATTCAATTACAGTGAATATTCATCCCCAAAGTTCAAGAAAATCCGTAGCTCATTTCTTTCTGGTTAGTGTTACAAGATATCTTTTCATCATTATCCGTGAAGGTCCTACTTGGACTATGTGCTATTAAACTTCATCCTTCCATTTGTCGAATCATCCATTTGTGTGTGACCCTCTTAACAGTTTTACTCGTCCGAAGTGCCTTATGTCTTTAAATTTGCTCGCCAACTTCATGTTTATCGTGAACTGAACTATACGTTTGAAAACTTCAATATACATATTGGACTTCCGCAACTTTGTTACAATTAAAAATGGTTGTTAAAATTAGAGTATGATTAAAAATGACTACCAACGGTTTTGTTTACATTATCATTGTGCAAGGATTTAAATGTAGTTATACTGTGATATCCTAGTTACAAATAACTAGCGTAAATAAATCTTGTAAATAAGATTAATAAAATCTGATTTATTTTATTAATAATTGTGTCTTTGTAAATTAATCATCTTAAGTAAGCAGTGAATTTGGTCAATTTACATCTAATTTGATTTTAAGACTTGTGGTAGTGGTGTAGGTCCCCTTATTCACTGCTTAAAATGAAGGTTGAAAGGTAGGTAGTAATTTAAAATTGAGCTCTCACGATATGTCTTAATATTTGAGTTAGTTTATCCAAATTTGAAATATATTAGTAATATATTACATGAAAGGCTTTCGTGAGGGTTGAATGGTATTACAATTTTTTCTTCTATTTAAAACTGTTCTGTATTATTCCACCTAAGTAAGATTATTGCCATGTAAGACAAATTAAGAAATTGAATAAGTTAATGTAAGGCATTAGCCCGAACAGAGAAGATCAAATTTATCAAAATAACTACATATTGTATTATGTGGATAACCTGGTTTTAATAAATCTAAATATTTCTTAGGAATCAATTCATAGTAAATAAGTAATTAATTCATAGTAAATAGGTAATTATAAGATTCTTTAAAATATTATAAGTGAGTGATGCTAATTAGATTTGTCTCGAAACTTATAACTTCCTCTTAACCATTAAAAAAAATCTGTTTAGAGTTGAACCAAGTGTTTATAAAATTTTTCACTAATAGTGAATTTTGAGATCAAATGATAAGTCTTATGATTTAGTCTTAAGGTTTTTAAGTGTGACCTTTCATTGTAAGTTCCAAATTGAGTTAACCCTAATGACTTCATCTTGTTTATTCCATTTATTGTGTAAGTTGGTAATACCGCTTATCTTGCCTAACAAATAATAAGTGTTCTGATATTTTTGTTTCAAATATTTCTCTATGAAAGTGTGGCATTTGTTTATGAAAAGAAATTAACTAGTGTTTCACTATCCATTAAAATTGTGATATGAGAGTGGCTTTTACCATTGTTTCGTGATAGAATATTTATTTTTTTTAATATTCACCACAATTTTGTGGTTTTTATTATTTTGGCTTAGTAACTTTATGCTAAGATTATTAGATGTTTTCTAAAAACTATGCTTTGTGAAAGTGTTCTTTTGTTAGAAATAACTAAAAGTTGTGACCTAATTGATTAGAAAGTTAGACTTTAGGAAAAAGTAGGAGTTGTGTGGCCCTCTATACCTTTTCATCGTAATAATATAATTTTATTAATTAATATTATATATTTTGAAGATTGAAATGAGTACCGATATGTTTTGCTTTTGTTAGTTAGAAAATTCGTTGTTACCCTATCTATGAGAAACTTACCTTGGTATGCAAACAATAAATTAGTTTTAAAAAGCCTTGGATTGAACCAGTTTAAGGTGAAAGCAATTATAAGACATATGTTATGAGTGTTTTCTAATATTGAGTAAATTCAGATTTTTAGTGGTTTTGAAGTGTGTAATTAAGTATTTTGATTGTCAACGAATTAAATTACCCCCTGCTGAAGTGTTTCTTCTGTAAAATGAAATGCAGTAGTATGAATCTAGCTATTTGAAAGTGTGCCCAATAAAATTATTAAATTGAATCGTGACCCTGTTCTACCTTTTCATTGTATAAATGAAAGATCGAAATGAATAAGTACTTAAATTAAAAGTATCTTTGAAAATAGTTAAATTCATAATGTGATTGGTACTTTTAAGTTAGTGTTAATATTGCTACAGAATATAATTTAAAGAAAGCTTTTCAAAATTTCAGGAAATTATTAACTAGACAATAAAATAACATTAAAAAAGAATTCTTTATTTTTAAAGTAGCCTTGAAATAGTTCAAATTGATGAAGTCAAAGATCAATTGAAAGTCTTAGCAATGGATATTTTGGCAGTAGATTTCGAAAATTTAGTAATATTTTAATGTAAGCCAGCTTGACAAGGAACAATGATAAATCTTCTGATATTCTTATTTAAAATATAATTCCACTGTGAAGGAGAGCTTTTTTTGAAATAGTTACCTATCATTAAGAAAGAGTTACCTTAGTGAGAAGTTTACCTGAAAATTTTAAATTCAGAGATTTGTGATCATAAACCCTTATTAAATCGTACGAATGAATGCAAGATGTTCAAAATTCTTAAATACTAAGTTTTTTTTGGAAGATTAAATTCGTGTCATAATTTTTAAGAGACTTTTCAAGATTTTTACAGAGAGGTTATCCAAATTTGCATAAATTAGTAAATTGATAATTCGTCAGCGAAATTTAATTAAACAATACATTTTCTCCACATTTGAAGCAAAACTGGAATAAATGAATTCCTTAGTTTTAAACATTCTCGAGATAGCCAAAATAAAAGTTTGAAGGTATTTATAGTTTTACTTAATGGTATTATAATATTTAATTTGATCAAGATATTAAACTTGGCAACGTAAAATCACGAATCTTCTGATATTCTTTACGAAATATAATTTCACCGAAAAAGCGTTGCTTGTATAAGCAGTACATGCTACAAAGTTGTGTGATTATCATTAAGAAATTTCCACCTTCACACAACATAAGAATGTTTGAATTTTGAATATAATTATACTGTGTTTGTTCTTGTGGTTTTAAAATACAGTAGCTTGTTAGTGAATTGAGATCATTGATAATTATTCAAATTTCGTAGTATGCTGCTAAAGTGTAGCTGATGTTGGGGATACAAGGGTGACCTTGGTAAAGTGAGACCCTAATCCCCATATACAACGTTTAAGTGAAAGTAAATTGATTAAGTTCTAAAAATTGTAAGTATCTTTGTAATTGTAAGTTCATGGATATTTCAAGTTTGTGGAACTAGTTCACAGTAATTTGGATAACCACTAAAATTTAGAGAACTTTTAACTAGTCTTTGAAATAACTATGAATAAACTAATCTTTTAAAGAAAACTTAAAAATGGTCAAAATCAATGGTAATGGTCTCCGCAAAAGTTAAAAAGCATTTGTTATGGTAAGTAGATTTCGAAAATTGAGTGAGTTAATGAATGCGAACTGTTATTCTTATTTAAAATAACGTTTCACTGTGTAAGTACTTTCGTAAAAGTACGAATTTAGAGATTAGTGACCTAATTAAGAAAGTTGTGTACACCTAGGTGAAAAGTATCAAATTTAAAGTAGCGTGACCCTCTTCTTTTCTTCATATTAAAGAGTAAAGAAATTAATATGTATATTTTTGAAAGCGGTATTAAAGTCAGTAAATAGGTAATATGACATAGTAGTAAGTTTGAAGACTTACGATGAGAAGAGATATATCTGATATTCTTTTTCAATGCTAAGTGTAGCTGTTAGTGATTCAAAATTAAGTGTAGTATTAACCGATGTATAAAGAAGCTTTGTCTTCAGTAAAAACTGTTAAATAGCAGAGTGACCCCTATTCCAAATTTTCGTTGTGTCATAAAAATATTAAATTTAGAGAACTGAGACCCTGTTCTTATTCATTGTCTAAGCTAATTAAAGGTCATCGGAGTATAAATAAATGTTTTTATAAGTTGTTTAAAAATAAAATGAATTAGTAATTTGACGACAAATCGTGATAGATATTCAGCTATAGTATGAACCTATCTATGAAAAAGTGTCTTTATTTAAAATTGTTAAAGCGTGAGAAGTGCGACCCTTATCCCAATTTTCATCGGAAAAATGAATGAGAAAAATAAAGGTTAATTCTTTAGCTGCTAATATATTTGAAATTGTATAAATTCGTAATGTCACCTAAATTTTGAGGTTATGGAGGTGTTTATGAGTGGTTTTAAAATAAGAAAAATACGGTAATTTGAAAAAGTTTTAAGATGGACGACCAATCGTTATGAGTAGTATGGACCTTACTATGAAAAATGTTTCCTCAGTGAAAAGTCTAAAATTGAGAAAAGTGTGACCCAGTTCCTTTTCATCGTATAAAATCGTATCATGTGATTTTGAGGTAGTGAAGGTTTTAGTTAGAGAGCTTGTTTTACGAGCAATTTTAAAAAATTGAATTGTATTTAAGAGTGTGACCCTGTTGATTATCATCGTATAAGCAAAGTAAACGTCATTAATTTATAAAGCCAACGAAAAATTGAGGTTTTGAAGGTATTGATATTAAAAGATTTTTAAAGAGTAGTTTTAAAATAGTGTAAATTGGTAATTTGATAATGAATCAAGATTGAGGACGTATCATGATAGATATTCAGTTTTTTTTTTCACTGCTAAAGTGTAGCCTTTATTATTGATTTAAAATTAAGTGTAGTATGCACCGAAATATAAGAAACTTTGTCTTTAGTTAAAATTGATAGAGAAAAGTGTGACCCTAATCCCCTTCTTCACGGCATAAATGAGTATTTTAATTCCTTAATTATAAGTATATTTGAAAGTACAGAAATTCATCATGTCTATAATATAATTGAAGTGTGACCCTGTTCTTTTTCATTGTCTAAGCAAATTAATCGAAATTTTGAAGAGTATAAATAGAGGTTTTTATGAGTCATTTTAAAATAGAATGAATTAGTAATTTGACGAAAGTATGACGACAAATCATGATAGATATTCAGATATTTTTTTCACTGCTATAGTGTTTGAACCTAACTATGAAAAAGTGTGCCCTTAGTTGAAATCGTAAAAGCGTGAGAAGTGTGACCCTTATCCCAATTTTCATCAGTTAAATGAATAAGAAAAATAAAGGTTAATTTTTTAGTTATAAATATATTTGAAACATCTAAATTTTGAGGTTTTCGAGGTGTTTATGAGTAGTTTCAAAATAAGAAAAAAATTGGTAATTTTAAAAAGTTTCAAGATTGACGACCTATCATTAGGTGTAGTATGAACCTTACTATGAAAAAGTGTTTCCTGAGTGAAAAGTTTAAAATTGAGAGAAGTGTGACCTTGTTCCTTTTCTTCGTATCATCGTATTTTCATCGTATGTGATTAAATTTTAAATGTAATCAATATTTGAGGTTTTTATTTATTAGTGGTTTAAAGCAATTCAAATGCTATATAGAGTTGTGTGACCCTGTTGATTTTCATCGTTTAAGTTAAAGTGATTATATTTATAACGTCTTCGTGATTTTGAGGTAGT